TAAAGATTGCAACACGACAGATTTTGAATTATGTGGATCTGCGAATGTGATCGTACAGTTTGCTCATATCGAGGTGATCGTCCAAGTATTGTGTGTACGTTAAGGATTATTTGAAATCAAAACCTGTAATTTCCGCATCATTTCGATACACAACACTAAATATAGTATCGATTAGTTTTGATATTACGGGAGAAAACTCGGCGAGAAGGCCTATGCATACACGTTTATAATCTACCGGTATGAAATAAGCATACATTAACCTTGATTGATTTGCTAATAATAGTCGTTATTTAAATAACGTATAAAAACATCGTTAACACCTTTTAACGAAAGCGTAAACACGTATCTACGTAAAATAATCATGGAGCAATGTGATAACGCACGTTCATGACGTGACGCAGTATTTTTCCGAAGGTTCGCTTTGTCGCTCGCATTAATCAAATGTTCAATGAAATAATAACGTGTGTAATGTGTGCAAATGGCAGAAGCATAATCGCATGACGATTGCGTGCTAAGTTTCCGTACATGGTTAGCTAGGTGAAGTTGTATTTTATGCTACATGATGATTTTTTCAGCCCTGGCAACCCCAGCTCTGTCTCTGTCATGCGGCTCGATGACACTGGATTCTCCGACGACTGTGACGAGTGTCTCGATGGGCGGGACGATTCACCGTCGAGAAGACACAGCTACGTCATTTCGGACTCTCACCTCTATCGACGTCCATTCGCCAGCTACCCCCAGCCAGGTCCCAGCACCGCGGCAGATGCATGCTACCAGTCAACAACGGATTTCATCAACAGGTCGTATCAGCCCCTCTAACAGCAGTCCCCCTGAATTCCCACCACCACGACCTATGCCCAGACACCCCTGGCAACGGTCGGCTAGTTGTCGCGAGCTATATGCTTCTAGTTTCGAGGATTCCGGTAAAGCGCGACCGCGGGACGATAAGGTCACCGCGGAGCCTCTATTAGAGCCATTCCAATTGCCTTCTCAGGGCGAACTAGATAACCCCGTGACACGTTACGACGAGAGTAATCGTTCGTATAGCGCTGCTAGTTCGAAATTACCCTCCTTAGATCACGATTCTGTCCCCGAGCGAGTCTACAGCAGTTCCTACCCGGGAACGTCGTCGTTGTCTACCGAATCGGGTCATGAGGAATCGGGTCCCGCTGGAGATCTGTCTCACGACGATCTCTCGCACGATTCTTACGAGCTTTTAGAACGCGAGCATGAATTCGAGTATCCGGAGTCGTATTCTAGCCCGCACGACGAGCACGAACCAATATCCGATCAGAGTGACGAAGGGATCGAGCACGAGATGTTCCAAATGGATTCCGAGACCGATTCCTTCGTCAAGCACAGATCGTTGAAAGCTACCGAGAAACAACAATACAAGTCCGCGCTCACTGATCTTAAAAACTCTAGAACTAAGTCCATCGATCGGTACTCAGCCGTATCTAAGCCAGATGGTGATTACATTATCACCGAATCTAGGATACAACGGTCGAGCACACAGATAGAACGCAAGTTCGAGACACGACACGCCAATTCCGTGGAACAGCCGTCCAAGACCACTGTTTCACATCAGGATTCCGCCAGAAAAGATCCCGTTATCTTGCAGGTACAGAAACAAAAGGTTTCTGTCCTGAACGAATTAAAGAACCTAAAACCCAAATATAAGATTACTCACGTAGACTCGGAGGTTTTGCGAGACGAGGGTATCATGCGTCCCAAATCGCGAATAGACGACGACTTGAGCCCGGTCGACAGTAGTAGAACGACATTTGATCACAGTGCGAGAGGTAGGACGACCAGAGCGCGTAGTATCGCCAGTTTGGAGGATCACGCGCCGCGGTTGTACGTCGAGACAGGTAGCTTAGGCCGGGGACACAAGTCTAGGGATAGGAAATCGCGGGAGGTGGACGTTAAGATTGAGAAAGTCTTGTCGAAGATGCAAGAAAAGGAGCGTAGAAGCGTCGAGAGGGAGGAACGAAAGCGGGTTGAGAGGGATTACTCGAGTCGGCGAATGGACAAGAACGATTCTCGAGAACGTCGCTCGATGGATCGGCTGGATTCGCGCGAACGGAAGTCGGACGGGCACGGCCGTCGTAGTATAGACCGGGTCGACATGCGCGAGTTGCGTAGGAGCATCGAGCGGCTCGACGTGCGCGAGAGGAGTTACGAGCACCTGGACTCGAAGGAAAAGAGTGCCTTTTATTACAGTGATTTCTACGAAATGCGTGGCAAGAGTGTCGATCGTTTAGACTCTCAAGGATTACGCAGTAGTATGGAGTACCTAAGAAGTCCTAAGGAGAGAAACAATCATCGGCATTCGGATACGCGGGAGCGCAGAGAAAGGAGCATCGAGCGAATCGATTCTCGAGAGTCGAGGAAGAACAGAGCAGCCTCCATCGACTACGATCAGAGGCATACCTTGGAGCGTTTCGATTCGGGCAATAGGAGCCCGTTCGAGCGGTTGACTCCGAAGGAACAGCGGAGAATGAGCATAGAGAGGCTGGACTCCCAAAAGTCGACATTCGACTTTGATCCGCGTGCGATTGAACGTTTGAAATCGTTGGAGCGTTACGAGCAGAGAGATCGTAGTTACGAGAGGAAGGTCGAATCGAGAAGCACCGAGCGAAAGAGTCTGGAGAAGCTGGACTCGCGCGAGCGAAAGTACCTGGGACGTTTGGAGTCGCGGGAAGGCAGGAGTCTCGAATGTCTGGATTTGGACAATGCGGAGCGCAGAAAGAACATCGAGAGAATGGAGTACAAAGATCAAAAGAGAAGCAGGAGCAAGCCCGAGAGAGGCAAGTCAGAGGAGAAGCCGCGAGAACGCGACGATTGGAAGAGCCTGGAGAAGGCGCGAAAAGACGACGAGAGACGCGAACGCGAGCGACAGGCGAAATTGTCTATCGAGTCTCGCACGGAAACTGTCATCGGCGTGCCGCACGAGGTGGAGAATTTCAAACCCAAGGCCGTGTTCGCTGAGTACGAGCCGAAGGTGGTCGGCGGCATCGTGCTCGGCTTCGACGAGACTGCGTTGCCCGGCCACGTGCCGGTGGAACGCACCAAGAGCGATCCGAATCCCGCGCGGCAGAGATTAGGCTCCAACAGCAAGCGGCACATGCTGATGCATCAGAAGTCCATCGACCTAACTCCGGCCGATTCCGGCGACGAGGAGCCATTCTCGGATAGCGCGACAATTCAGAAGACTAATGTCGACATCCCGTATATACTGCACAAGAGACACGTGATGAACGGCACCGCATCCGACGAGAAATCCGAATCGGACAGTAGCAAGACCTCGAAGAACGTCAAGAGCATCGCCAAAGACTTGCCGAAGTTGCCATTGAAAATAGTAACCGACATTTCGTACTTCGATCTGACTAAGCTCTCTTCGATAGATAAGGCTAGCAATAAACCACCTCCGGATAAACCGAAGACCATCGCGGTTACCACCACCACGAGACCGAAATCTATATTGAGCCCGTCGGACAAGCCGAAGAGTATTTTAAGTCCAACGTCGAAACTTTCGCCCACTGATCCGAAGAGTATCGTTTGCAGTTTATCGCCCACTAACCGAAGCCCTTCGAAAGTAAACGCAAAGACGCAGGCTTCCGATAAACTGTCACAAAAGGGCGGCTCGTTAGATAGAAACAGAGCGGAGGTTATCATCGAAGATTACACGTGCAAAAAATCCTCAAGTCTGGATAAGAAGCCATCGAAATTATCGCCGGTGGAACCGAATGTCACCATTATCTCGACGCTGGAGAAACGCTCGCCTAAGAAGTCACCGACCGATCCTAATGTGACTATCGTCTCTATGATACAGAAAAAGAAATCGGCAGACGGTGCACCGAGAAGTCCTACTAACGTCGCGAAAGTAGTGGACATCAAACTGAAGGCCGCTCTGAACTTCGCCGATATCGTGGGTATGGAGATGAAGCAAAACCTGGAACGTCGGGCGAAAGTGGAGAAGGATAGTCTGAAGATGCCGGACGACAGTTTAGAAAAGCAAGACAGTATCGAGAAGATACCGTTGCCCGAAATACCTCCTGTTGAAATGCTGGAGGATCTGGAGAAAATTACACTCACTGCAGGTGACCAAGCAAGAAGCGTCGACCAGATGATTAAGGAGCCGATCTATTCGCCGAAACGAGCCGTTGACGACTTGTCCGCGTCCGACGATGATCGGAAGCAGAACAATGTGCAATCTGTGGTAGCTGAAGTTCATATCTCGGCTTCGATTAAGACGGAAATTACGGCGGAGAAGCCACCGATTCCGGAGAAACCGAAGACGCTGGAGAAACCGAGTATTCCTGAGAAGACGAAACGAATCTTGGAGAGGATAGAATCGAAATTCTCGGAGGTCAGTAAAAATTCCGCCACGAAAATCTCGAGACCTAAGATCATCGATACGGGATTCGATGATTTCGTGGACCCAGTCGCCGACTTGCCTTTGGACGAAGTGCCTGTGAAACCTGCTTTAGAATTGGATAGCCTTAAAGTTCCTGAATTCGTTCCCTTCATGTTGAGACCGCACGCGGAACCGTTAAGATCGAAGTCCCTGTCGCTGGCGGAAGAGAAGGCACCGATCGACACTCTGCTCTCACCAGAGATGGAGAACAAACATTTTGTGCAAGATGTTTCTCCTAAGAGGGTGAAGAAAGTGAAGTCCGAGCCGAAGAAAGACTTTAAGAAGCAATCAAAATCGTTGGAGGGCGATAAACCGCCGCTGAAGAAAGCCGCGTCGAAGGAATCGCGTGCCACGGCGGTGAATACAAAAATCGATAAGTCCAAGTTGAAACTCGGCGAAATGCCGCAAGAAATTATAATAATTGACTCGACCGACGTGGCGCCTGAGATCAGCATTGTTCAGAAAGGTAGATCAAAATCCGTAACCAGATTGTCCGACAAGCCATTCTCCACGTCGAAGGATGAGAAGGATGACACGAAAACACGTGCGAAATCCGCCTCCGTCGATGACGATTTGATTAAAGGCGCTGTGAAGTCCGAGAAATCCAGACCGAAGTCACTGGGAATATCGAAGAGCTTGGGAAGCACGGAGAAGAAAGACTCTGTCGAAAAAATCTCTCCAAAGAGAACCATCGCCTCTAAAGCTGCCGCCAAGCTGGATTCAAAAGTTGAAAGTAAACCTCCCGTGGCGAAAGATGCGGTATCGAAGCAGGATTCGAAAGTGGCACGCGGTAAAACGGCGGCGAAACCGGAACCGAGCACCGAGGAAGCCGTTGTCGAGTCGAAGCAAGTTCGACAGGAAAAAGACTCTAAGCCGTGTGTTAAGCCTGACGTGGTGATCGATCAGCTGGCGAATGTTAAACAGGTCGTAGCGGTTGATGGATCTAGGGAATCCGTCAGTAAGGAGTCAGTGAAGGTGGCAGAAAAAGAGTCGACCAAGGAGCCAAGTAGAGAACCGAGCAAAGAGCCGACAAAGGACAGCGTGAAGAAGACTGCGCTCGCTCAAGATCTAACCCAGCCTCCGTTGGTGTTACGCAAACCAGGACAGACACCGATACTGTTCGCTCGCGCGCGTCTCGGCCTTTCGGAAGGCAGCGGCATTGGCGTACTTCAACGTCAAGGTGCCACACAGTCACCCACCTCTCAACGACGCGCCAAGTCTTTGGACGCCGCGGTGATCTCCGTGCACAGACTTCCGCCAGCGAACGCGTTCTCCAGTAAAGACGACACGGTGGACATGTCGGAGAACATGGAGGATAAGGAGAACGCCGGTGAGAATGAAGCCGCGCAAAGTGCGAGCGCGTCGAAGGTGCAATCGATGCAGATAGAGGCTTCCCCGAATCACAAGTCCGATAGCACCGATCACACGACTGTTCCGGAGATCTGCACCGATTCTCTGTCCGTCACCGAGACCTCAGCGCAGTATCTAGAATCACCGTTGACGGAGTGCAACGAAATCGTGGCCAGCGTCGATCTGATACCTTACGAGCAGGAAAGAATACCATTTATGGGTTATAAAGACGGAAACGAGGCGCAAACGTTGAAGATCGCGGAGGATGTCAAGGTGGACGAGGCGACGAGATTCATCGATCAGAGTTCCGTCGAGTCCAGCGCGGAACAAGAAGCTTGTCAGGAGAAAGTTGGCGTTTCGAAAGATATTCAGCCAGAGAAAGACAAGTCGGCAGTTTTGATAATCTCCGTGAAGAATATCAATGTGGAAACGGTTGTTAGCAAGCAAAAACAAACCGAACTACCGACTGCTATCGAAAGTCACGTCGAGGAAACAGATACTGCGAAAATCGACGAAACGACGAAAGCACCATCTCGCTCGGAAATACAATTTACTCTTGTCAAAGCCGAGGACTCGAAAAGCTCGTCCGAGAGGGATGACGTTCCCGACGTGACTATAAGTGCAGTCAGAGAAGACGAAGAATCCTTCCCTAGACGCTACGATCAGGACGATCCTCCAGATATGGTCAGGTCGCCGATACAGATATCTATCGAAGAGTGCTCGGACGATGAGGTGAATCCGGAAGAAGAAGAGGAAGAACTAGAACGAGAACAAGAGATTGACGAGCGCGAAGAGGAGGAGAACAAACGACTCGACTCCCTCGATACGAGCGAAGACACACTCGACGCACTCGACACGCAGGTGCAGATGCGAGGTGTCGACAGCGAGCTGAGTTCACCTGATTATGGTGTCGATAAGATGGACGAAAAGACATTGGTTGAAGTCGAGTTAACGCCCGAATATCTAGAAATGCGAAAGGAAGACGAAGAGACTGCGGAAGATCTGCCTGAAGACGAACCGGCCAAGGAAGCTGCAGAGATTGCAGACACTAATCGTTTGTCCATCGACAGGAAGCTCAGATTGAGCACCGAACGTTCGAGGAGCGAGGAGACCAACACTTGGACACCAGACAGAGAAGATCCAGACTCCAGTTCGTGTTCCATCGCGCGGCCGTTGGGAATCGGGCAGATACAACCGATAATAGATCGTCGAGAAATTGCCATGATCGAAGGCGCTCGTAACAGCGGCTCCCTGGAGGAGGACATTAGCAACGGGTCGCAGCCTCCGCTGAAACAGGAGATGAGTTCCACGTGGAAGTCGTTCCCGCTCGAGAGCTCCGGTAGCTCCAGTTTGGAGGAAGGCTGGGCGCCTCAGGACGAGAATAACGCGCAACAATCGCAAAGTGAAGACAGCAACGGCCAAAACGAGGACAGTTTTCAAGAGGACCTAGCAGACTTTCCCGGCTCTTTCATCTACCCCATTGGACCCGAGATATTGGCCAACTACGGCGCTTTCTCGCTCTCGCGCACTTTATCTAGAATATCCGAGCGATCAACCACGTCAGAGCAAGACAAGAGCGATTTGGAAGATTCCTTCAAGCCCAGTTCGAGGTCGCCAAGCCTTGACGACGAGTCTCTAATATCGAGCGATCACCAGCCGTCCTTGTCGTCGGATCCTCCGTCCGGAACGGCGTTACCATCCGTTTCCGACGACCGCAGAACTTCCTCCGAGTTACCGGACATCCCTATAGACGTGATTGGCGCTCAAGAGGACGACTCCAGGTCGCCGCGAGCGAACAGGCGTTCACGGTTGCAGCTGCAAAGCTCTGAAGACTGGCCATCGCCACCGAGTTCTCCTGTCTTCGACACACCGGTGATGAGTCACGTAGAGACGTTTTACATGGAGATCAAGCCGGAAGAGGCAGTTAAAGTCACCGTGACGGACAGCACTGAGACACCCGTTCAGGCGGAGCAAGACAGCGACTCCAGCGATGAGAATAGAACCCTGCACGACGATCTTCACTCGACTCTCTTGGAGGACGGACAAAGTTCAACTTCCGCGACGGTCGACGGTACGGTTAAGATAGCGGTAAAACCGAAATCGAATTCGTATATAACCGGCTCGTCACACAGCGAAGATACGTCAATGGGCCTATCGATGTCCGAGTGGTCTAGCTCGAACAACACTGTGCGCCAATTTTGCCAATACTCCGGCACGAAATCTGATGACAACTCATTGGCGGAACTCGGCGCCTCGATCTCCGACTGGTCGGGCAGCACGACGGTGATACCGCAACAGTACTATTCGACGATGGCCGCGGACAAGAGTCAAAGCGACACCACGACGTCCGATAGGAGCGCGACGAGTATGCGACCCAACTCCAAATGTCAGACCGCTGACAGTTCCTCCCTTCCGTCACCACCGTCCCCGTCCTCGTTCCCACTGCCCCTCTCACCACCGCTGCCTTCTCCTCCCGCGACGGCCACGTCTGCGTTTCAATTTGAACACGAAGTCGTCGGTCCCGCGGTCGAAACGCAGCACGAGGCTTCGCAAGACGACGATACACTCGAGGACGACGATTCCACGCGGCAAAGTCGCACGCATGGCGACGAGTTTGACGAAGCGCGACGGTTCATCGAGAGCCAGTTCGATGAACACCGTCGGCTGCGTCGCTACGATGACGAGCAGCAGGTTGCTTACCCGGAATACACCGACATCTCGCCACCTCGCATTACTCTGCGGAATGAATACGACGAGGCGATTGACGATGACTTCCAAATGGTCCCAGACGAGGAGACAATTTGCGTGGACGACACGGCACTACCGATACCCGAGGAGGACGAAGAGGATCAATTGTACGATAACGTGCCCGCTATGAAGTATTCCAGTAGCGACAAAGTGCGAATGGAGGTGGGCCGCGGCGATAGCTCGGAGGACATGCATGAGAAATACGCGGATCTCACGTTACAGTCGAGAATGGCGGAGGATGATTGGTCCTCCGAGGAGCGGAAGGACGTGCCGGAGACGACGAAACCGATAAGGATCATGAGTAAGTTCGATCGCGGTTTCTCCGAACCAAGTCCTCACGAGTCGGGCAGGTACCAAGGCACGAGATCGACCGAGCGACCCGTGATGGTACCTATCAGAGCGAAGTCGACCCCGTACTACTCCACGACGAGCTTGAGTGGCGAGTCGACCACGTCCAGTCCGCCTATGCAGATCAGAACACAAATCAGAACGAAGACGATGCCGTATTCATCGAGTCGCAGTCCACAGAGCGAGGGTGACACCTCCTCGAGCATGGACAGTCCGGCGCACACACCTGACCGAGGTCAAAGGGCCTTTCGCCGGAAACGGCAGCAGAACGTCAAGAGACGACACCGCGTGGCTGTCGATCTTGAGATCAAGGACGGCCACATAGTCTCTAGCACGGATTCTAGCTTCGACGTGACGACTATACCGCCGCCTCTATTGACGGAGGGTCAGAGTCTTGACGTGGACGACGACGAGGATGACGACGAGATGTCCGAGACGAAAGACGAGAGGGAACGACGTCGCCAACAGCGTTGACACGATGTCGGCGAGCGACGCTAAAAACAGACGCTCGAGAGGAAGTGAGCTCGAGAGCTGATAGAAGAAGAATAGAATTCGTAGGGAGAGTTTCCAGTCGCGTGGAATTGAACGCACACTTAGAATTGATAGACTCATGCCGTTCTTCGTCGAACAAACAAACAAGCAAACAAGCAAGCAAACGAACGCGCGCGCGATTGGTCGCGCGTGTTGGCACTCTCGACTTATATTATCCACTGCACGGAACAAAGGTCACCAAAAAGGGGTTCGCGAATGGACCGACGACTCGGCCTGGCCTTTGTAAGTAAGCGTGCAAGTGATCTCATTCCGACGACGACGAGGACGATCTCTCAGTGCGGTCGCACGGTAATCATGATCGAGAGTTTATACGGGTATGTTCGACGGAAGGAACATCAACGATGAGTAAGAGGAAACGAAAGAGAATGAACGAAAAGAAGAATTCACATCTTGGCAGAAAAGTAGATTGGTAGAAGTCAATCAGAACTCGCTCTGGTATTAGTTGATAGTTTTTGCTTTTCTATCAGCACAAGTTCTGATTGATTTCTGTTTATTTCCTGCCTTTCTACCAAAGTATGAATTTTTCCTAAGAGAGAATTCACGCCTTGGGAAAAAGGCAGAAAGGCAGAAATCAATCAGAACTCGCGCTGATGGTTCAGTGATAGTCGACAGTTTCTGCTTCTCTACCAGCGCGAGTTCTGATTTTACCAGCCTTTTTGTTTTCTGCCAAAATGTGAATCCTCCCTAAGACGACGGACGACGACTCGTCTCTGTTCCAGGCTGACTTCAGTCCAAGCGAATGATCAAAATCTGTGCGAGAGAATCTAGCATAATATCGTTAGGAATACGGATACGTTTGTTACACGTTTTAGAGACCCGGTTTACTTTGATATTATTGTCACGATAGATTACTCCCTTCGGCTACCCCGTAGACGAGTGATACTTAGCGAGTAATACTCATGCATAACAGTCGGAAGCGAATATCCTACTATCACGAACGAGACGCGCGCGATGACTCGTTGACGAGAACGACGGCCGTTTACGCGCTATATCCTAGTAATTAAAATAACGTATGACATTATAAGATAGAAATCGAAGGAGCGACGTAGGATTTTGGAAGATAATCGTAACTTTAAGACGAGCGTGTGATAAAAGCGCGCGCGAATCATTTTTAACCCTTTAATCGGTCGAAGATCGTTGCGCTTTCGCGCGAGATTACGCCCGACGCCGTCAGGAGAAATCGCGCGAATACCTGAACGAGTAAACGCGACGCCTTTCTTTCTCCTTTGATTTCTTTTGTCGAAGGTCAACGTAACTTCGTTGAAATCACATTCAGCACCCCGCCGGAACACGCGTATTCGCGTGGCCGTAACGCTGAACACAACGTTAAAGGGTTAAATGAATAAATCTCGGCGTTGCGAAAGTGACACTATTCGGTCGTGCGACTTGAATTCACCAGGACAATCAATCGCGAGAGGCGTCTGCCGGAGAGGATCCCGAGTCGGAGGCAAGAAACGAAACGCGGAATAAACACGATCGTCGGCACAATTGGCTGGCAGTTTCGAACAATGAGTCCCCGAAACAACTACGATCTATGATTTCGCCGTGGTTCGATTCGCGTATGCGTATCACAGAGGGGAGGGGAACGGAGAAAAGTTGCTCAACGTAGATACGTAAATGTGGTTCGCGCTTTTTCGTTGAAGTTCGTACGTGGTCGTACCTCATGTTAAGGATCAGCCGCGCATCCCGTAGAAGCCGGTTCACGAAAAAGGAAATTAACTAATTAATTAATTAATAAACTAATAAGTACATTCGGTGCGCATTCGGTGAGTGTGCGTCGGACTCCACATGAAATTCATTCTCGACGGGTGAACAGAGAGAGGAGAGAGAGAAAGAGAGACAGCACCCGGTACTCGTTCATAGACGTCGGCTATGGACCAACCAATAGCCACTAAGATCTCCGTTAATGTGGGGACCTAAGCCTCGTCCGTATTAATCCGCGAACTTATTTACCTAGCAACACAAGTAGTCCGAGGTACACGCAACTCAGACTCCCGGGAGACCCGGGCGCTAATCTAAGTTAAGACGTGACAGCCGTTAGCGCGAAACTTTATTATCCATTATTGATCTCGAGAGCAAGAGCAAAGATCGAAGCGAGAGAGGGAGATAGAAGGAGAAAAATACCTCTCTCGGCCGTACTTTTCGCGAATTCAGCAAATTCGCGCTGTTCGACGCTACTACGACGTAACGTGTGCATACATTTTCGCCGCGCTCACACGATTATTCGTTTCCTCGGGCTGGCTGTTTATTGCAGAGAGATTAGGGGAAGTAGGGCGCTTCGTTGCGCGCTTCTCGAGTCATTGCGGGAATGCCCGAGGAATATATCTTCGCGATAGGACACGTGCGCAGCAGGTACGCCGTGTGGGAAAGCATGTAACTAGGAATTACGAGTCCGATTCGAGCGAGGCAATAGAAAGTCCCATTGGTTTTTCCGGCTTGTAACTGTGCCTAGTTTTTATACCACGTTCGTCGCATGCACTACTTTTAGTGAAGGCGTGAATCTCGACGTGAATTGTGATGTGTACTGCGTGCACGCGTCGCGCATATGTACGCGCGCACGTGCGTGTGCGTGCGTGTGTCTCGGCGTCTTTTAGATAGATAAAAATATAGCCGTAGGGGGAGGGAGGGTGGAGTTATTGGTGATTAGGGAGGTCTGAAAACAAGTGTGAATGACACACACACATATACTTGGTACCGGCTGTTACGAGCACGTCGTGTGCTCCGCGTGGCGACTTACAGTTAAACATTTTCGCAACCGCGCGCGTGTGCTCCCGCTCGGAAACGCGGCTTCGTTTTTCGTCGATCGAACAATTCTCGAACTTACAATCGCGAGTCATTCCGAAAACGACTCGTTGTTGAGGTAAACATCGTTGATATAATGATCGAGAAACGAAGTAAGACTTTATCAAGCGTTCCCGAATTTCTTCTCTTTTCGAATACCTCTTTGAATTTTTTTTTTAATAATTGGGAATTCTTTCGCAATTAACTACGATTCACTGTTACTGCCCATCTCCGTGTTACGCGGTATGCGTCGTAATCTGTTGTGAAAATTGCTTTCTGCAAATGTCTTCGTAGTGAAAATAATTAATTGCAGCAATAATCCGTCAATAATATATCAATAATATCGAGGAGAATGACAGCAACTCCGAAAGGAGATCGTTACGCATTATCAGCGTATCGAAGGGATTTTGCAATATATCGTTGCCATCGCAGCGTATGCAATTGCGTTAATTGCCGCGCGATTATCATATGCTGCATGGCGAGCAACGTAATATTAAAATTTAAGCGGTGAAGGAACGACCGCGCTGAGTGCCGATAAAAACGATGGTATGCCGTTACTTCGTTCAATGAGTTAACGATCATTGAATTTGTCTGAAATTTTCACGTAGGCGATAGGTTTTTGCGAGAAGGAGGGAAAATTTCAGAAGAACTTTCGCCAACTCGAGATTCTTTTCTGACGTTACGTCGCAACGAAACGTACACAACGTCTGGTTTGCGGACAGTGCTTATTTTATTTGACGGAGATACAAGCATTTCTCTGAATTTAGAGTCGGAAGTATATAAACGCGCGAGCATGAACATTACGACGTTGGAACAGCCGCGTTGAAACATTTTCCGAATTCCCATTAGGATTTACTTTGCGGCTTAGGGTAGGGTTCGAGTCAGATCAGTTTATATTAGGGTTACGTCGATATATATGTTAGGGCTGCGCTATCGGAGATCGGATTTTCCGGTATATGTCTAGTATATGTTGTAGTCCAAGTTAGGTATGATAATCATCCTGGGATTGCCCGAAGAGAGACCACCGGAATGGCTATTACTGAATTCTTGGCCAGGCTACGGTCTTAACGATTGCGAAACAATTGCTACTCCTAACTTGTGGTGCAACATACACGAAAACGAGAGAGTAAATGTGATAAGCGGCCAACTATTGAGATACAGGCCAACTATTGAGATACAATGTCCGGAAACGTATCTAATGCTGGATATTTTTAGTGTTTTGGTCTTTAAATACGTGTTAAATACGTGTATTTAAACTTTTATACATACGTACACACGTATTGAATATATATACATGTATTTTATCTTGAAAGTTTAAATATTCATATCTAAAGGCCAAAACAAATATTCAGAATTGAATACGTGTGGCGGGAATTGTGTACTTTCACTTGGTCGTGCAAGACTTTTTTCAATCCCGAAGAGAGACGGCTCTTCGCGTTTTTGGCCTTTTTTACGAATACATCTCTATCGGTAAATGTCTAAAAAGCTTTCCGCGATATGCGCTCTCAGCTTGTTATCCGAAGTTCGCGGATTTTCGTGTTTTGCATCGCGGTCATTCCGAACTCGCGGCTTCACGCGAATTATTGATCAGAATGCAGGATTGCGCGGTAAACGACAAATGGATCGTAAACGGTTCGTCTCTCTCTCTGAATACTCGGTACAGAGGTCATACTAGTCTAGTTACATTAATGTCTAGAGGCACGGCCTTGGCGATTAGTCGAATAAAAACCCTTTGATGCGTTAGTATCATTGTGTCTCCATTTGTGTATGAATATCCGTGCGCCAGCGAACTCGATCGAGGACGCTCGAGCGAACAGAACGACGCGAGCATCACAAATCGTCATTTAGCACGTACAAGAATAAAAGAAGAAGAAAAAATAAATATTTTTGATGGTTCAACATCTCTGCACTCAGCACACATGACATATGAAGTTCTATGCAGGATCGTCTCGATCTCTTCAAAGCATATCGGACGATTAACCCAATTACACGATCCATTAGCTGTGCATTACATTAGTACCTATATATTATATCGCCTATGTGTATGATGCACTTTCAGTAATTAGGAACACTCTTTCGGCATACACATCGCTCGCGATCTTTCCTTTGACGGCCTGAGGTTTCATGCTCGCAGTCCATTTATTCGAATTCGCTGTAACGCTCGATATTGGTACGCTCCCTCGCCCGTCTCTTCTTGGTTTCTTGCATTTGTGCATCGTCAGTCTCTCTCTCTTGCCCCTGTCATCATCGTGATATCGCACACACTTTCATGTGCACTTCACTCCAGCACGCGTCTTTCTCACGCACTTACTGTATACCTCCCGATCCCTCATCACATCTGTGT